GAGAGAGAGAGAGGTTTGGGATGTATGTAGGGGCCCTATTATTCATTTTTTCCATATTTATAGCATAATCTTTTGAGTTGAATCGCGTCATGAATCCGTTTGGTTAGACCTTGTTAGGGTTTCAAAACTATTCACTACCCCTTGAAGGTCCCAACTCACCTGAATTATGAGGTGAGGTTGGGCCTCATTAGTTTTTTGTTTTCATTAAGAGTCCTCTAGGAATTGAGCCTTCTGTTACTGCAATTATGAGGTTCTCAAATCTGGTCTTGTACATAGTACTGTATACACTATGCTACCAATAGCTTTTGCATAGGGAACATTAGGCTTTTCTTGTCCTTCTATTGGACAATCCTTCTTAGACAATTGCACTTCCTTTTCAACAGGAGTAAACAATGATTTAAAATTTTCTATTTTAAATCTTTTAAGAACAAAGTCAAGATATCTCCCTTGGCTCAAGGCTAACATTCTAGATTTTCTATCTCTAGTTATTTTTATGCCTGTTATTTTTATGCCTAGGTCATAAGATGCTTCTCCAATATCTTTCATCTCAAACCGAGAAGAAAGTCATGACTTAGTCTTATTAATCATTTATAAGTAATTTCCAGCTAACAAGGTGTCATTCACATATAATAAAAGTATTGTGAATTTACTCCCACTTTTCAAGACACACACAATGGTCCAATGTATTTACTTCATATCCCATCTGTAGTATGGCATAATGAAATGTTAAGTACCATTGTCTTGAAGATTGTTTTAAGCCATATAATGACTTATTAATTTATATACTTTATTTTCTTAGTCCTTAATTATGAAATCCTCAGGTTGCTTCATATAGAGATGGTTTCTTTTAGTTCACCATTCAAGAATGCCGTCTTTACATCCATTTGGTAAAGTTCTAGGTCATAATATGCAACAATTGCCAAAATTATTCTAATGGATATAAACATTGCAACAGGGGAATAAGTGTCAATATAGTCGACTCCTTTTCTTTGGATAAAACCCCTAATAACCTAGCTTTAAATTTATCAATTGATCCATCAGATTTTAGCTTCCTTTTAAGTACACATTTGGAAGTAGTCAAAAGAGTTCTAAGGTACATTAAGGGAACAAAGCATCTAAAATTGTGTTTTCAAGTTGATAAACTTGAAATTTTAGGATATTCAATTGGAGATTTTGTTGGGGATAAGAACGATGGTAAGTCTACCTCAGGACATGTTTTCCTCTTTGGAGGTGCAACTTTTTTTTTGTCTAGTAAGAAACAATGGTGTGTTATCAGGCACACATAGGAAGTAGAGTACATTACATGTAGCATTGTATATACTTTTGCCGTTTGAATAAAGCGCTTCATAGATGACTTAAAGCTGCAAATAATTGACAGACCGATTCAAATGTTTTGTGATAATCAAGTTGCAATTAAATTAATTCAAAATGAAGCAAATAGCTCCAAAGAAGACACATAGATGTATAATATCACTGCATTCAGGATGTAGTTGAGAAAAATGAAGTAACTGTTAGTTACTTGCCCTCATCATACCCATTGACATAGGGTCTAAGCGTTGAACTACTTTCTAAGCACACTAGCTTGATGGGACTTAAAAATGGTCAACTCCGTTGGTTTCCATGAGTAACAAATCTGCATTAGTGTGAAAATCCTCATGATGAAAATTATAAGCATTTGTTATGAGACGCATATCCACAAAAGCGTGAGAAAAACCTCATGACAAAAATATTGTTTTAAAAGACATACTTAAAAGTGGGAGCGTACTTGTGACTTATTATTACGCTCGACCGTCATGACCAAGTGGGAGGTGTTGGCACGTGTGGCCATGAGGCCTGACGTTGCCTAACCTATTTATATGGATTTCAACTATTTTTATGGGAGGTATTCCATGTGTGCTTATCCATTTATAAATAAGTTTTGTTAAATGTAATATAAATAAATAAATAGTTTATTTTCTCAAGGATATTTTCAACGTTCACATGGATAAGAATCCCTGAGATCAGGGAATCAGTTTCTCAGAGACTCGTTGGAGAAAAAGGAACATTGACTCATAGTTTTCTTATAAATATGGGAAATCCGAGAGAGGAGATGAGGCACAAAAAATACATGACAAAATTACAGCCTTTACAGGCTCTGCGATCACCAGCCTCACAGTACACCCCTCTCGAATCTCGAGCTTTTGGTGTCTCGAGGGGCGTGTCGTGAGGCTGGTGATCGTAAAGCCTGGAAGTAATTAAGAACCCAATAGAGAGAGAAGAGAAGCATTTTGGAGGCTCTACAACTTTGCTATGTATTTGTTGAGTCTCATCTCCTCTCTCTGACTTCCCATATTTATAGGAAGAAGATGAGCTAATGTTCCTTTTTCTCCAATAGGCATCTAAGAAACTGATTCCCTGATATCAAGGATTCTTATCTATGTGAACGTTGAAAATATCATTGAGAAAATAAATTATTTATTTATTTATATTACATTTAACAAACTTATCTATAAATAGATAAGCATGCATGGAATATCTTCCATAAAAATAGTTGAGGTCCATAGAAATAGGTTAGTCAAAGTGATGCCTCATGGCCACACGTGCCAACATCTCCCACTTGGCCTTGATGGCCGAGCGTAATAATGAGTCATAGGCACACTCCCACTTTTGAGTATGACTTTTAAGATAATTTTTTTGTCATGACATTTTTCTCATACTTTCGTGGATATGCCTCTCATAACAAATGCTCATAATTTTCATCATTAGGATTTTCATGTTAATGCAGATTTGTCACTCATGGAAACCAACATACTTAAACATTTTTAAGTCCCATTATGCTAGTGTGCGTAAAAAGTAGTTCAACGCTTAGACCCTTTGTCAATGAGTCAGCGATCATATCTGATTAGGGCAAGTTACTAACAATTATTTCATTTTTCTCAACTA